GGGGGGGGGGGTGGGGGGGTGGGGGCATGTTTCTTCTTTAGAAACTGGTTGAATTTGTAGTGCGTGGAAGCAGCGACCCCGGCGCTCAATTAGAAAGAAGCACAGGAGTCCTCCTTCTTCCCAGCAGTATCGGCTTTTGTCCAGTCTATAGATTAATTTTTCAGACTTAGTGTTAGTTCAGGTTAGATAAAGATAATGAAAGTTTCCTAATCCTCTTAAAGAAGATTTATCTGACTGAGTAGAAAGCTTTTGGAATACAATAAGGCATGTATAAAACTGAGGCCTAATCTTGCCTTTAATTTCAAACTGCTGATGGGTATTGATTTTGCAATGAGAAAAACTGAAAAATTTCCGAACTGCAAGTTGTCTGTTTAAAAAAAAAAAGTGTTTATTTATCTTCTGTCCATTTGAAAACATTAGAATTCCTTCCCTCTGCCATAAAATTGCCATTAGCTGAAGGGGCACAATCCCCCAGGGTCCCCACTTTTTTGTTCCCCCAGTTTCTGCAGCTTGCGGGCCTGCCACACAGATCCATCCAACCCTGGCCTTTACTCTTTGATAAGGTGGCCTCTGCCACATGTTTTGAGAGAATTAATTCCAAGTCCTTTTCTTGGAGCAAAGAAGCTACATGCATTAAAATACTATACCTGAGGTACCTCTTAGCCACCTCAGGGATTATTTATAGGTACCACATGAGTGTGACCATGTGACTCAGACTCCACACCTAGTTAACCAAAGCCAGAAACAGGACAGAAGTCACTATGGGTGTCAGGGAAGTCAGGTTAGGAAAATCATCCCGTGTGGGATGGGTAATGTCCAGGAGCTAGACATCTGAGGATAGACAAAGTGTCACTCTCACTGAGGAATGACAAAAGTGAGTTGTAGTTCTTATAAAGCATTCCTTTCAGAGCTACTTTTCAAGGGAAAATGAGGGAATTCATCCTTAAGCCTCAAAAGATGAAAAATTAAAAGACGTCACCCCAATCCTAAATTTGGGGAAATACTGCAAATGTTTGCCTTGCTAGTAATCATGGAGCTAGGATCCCAGGCTGCCTGGAAAGGAAGGTGTTTGACTTGGAAGGTGTAGAGGTAAAGATACCACAAGCATTGCTCAGGTACTATGCAATGGAGCAGCTGTACCTTAAAACCCCAAAGAATATTTTTGAGATTCCTCATGAATATTAGCATGAGAGTAGGTAACTTTTCTGAGATTAACTATTCCTGGAGAACAGCAGGAGCTATCATTTATTTATATCTCTCCCCAGCACACAGCACACTGTCTGGGGTATACCACTCAGCATTAGCAAATGTTTGTAAAATGAACAAAGAACAGATTGATGCAGCAATGAATTGACACACCAAGGCAGTAATCACAAAGCCCTTAAGCAGGTAGAGGTGGGAATGAGGCAGACACTGTCCAGAGGACTCGGAGTGGACAGACATTGGGAACAGTTCCCTGGAGGCATTGAATCTTCAGTGTGACAAGTTAAGTGACATGTTATCAGAGGGAGAACATGAATTCTGTGCATTTATTTAGTAATTCACAGCATCGGTCACAATCTTGGGCTCATTTAACTCTCACAACAAGCCCTGAGAGGCTCCAGCACAGTGACTGCTGGCTCCATCTTGCAAATTAAATAGCTGCAGCTTGTGGAGGTGAAGAGAACAGCCAGGGTGCCTTGCGAGTAAGTAGCAGAGCTGGGTCTTGAACCTTGGTCCTGTGATGCCAAGATCAGTATGCTCGACCACCTCCTCGGCTAACCTCACCTGAAGTTATTTCTCTGGTCTCTAGAATCAAGGACATTTTTTATTTTTAGTATTCCTTTCTATTTTTTTCCTGTTGCTGTTACTGCTTTGCACCACCAGACACTGAAGGCAAAGCTCAAAAAAGAAAATTAGCAGTAAGGATGGGATGCAGAACCAAACAGTGAAGGGAGCCTGAGAGAGAGGCAAAAAGGAGATAAGACTTGACCCTTCAGGGAAACACAATTTAAATGTTACCCCTTTATCCTATGTAAGTATTAAAATCACTACCCACTTGGTGAATCCAGACCCTGACTGTCACTCTAATGGTCACAAACTCCTCCTCGGTATCCTGTCCTACCTGGATGTCTTTGTGCTACAACAGCTGTCATTGTCATTGTCAGATGGGTGGGCAGCGGGGCCTGGTGACTCTTTGCTCCTTGGATGGTCATATTCTCTACCTGCCCTCTTGGCTGGTTCAAGAATGTTTGACTTAGAAGGTGTAGAGGTAAAATTGTGAAGCCCAATTTTCCAAGAACCAGAAACGATGAATTATGTTAATTTCTCATATCCCAGACTCC